TGAATACAGACGGAAGCCATCTCTTTGGTCAAGTTATTCTTTTGAAGCATTAATAAAACCATTAAGGCTACTCGAGTCAATGACCCATAAGGTTGTGTGTTTGAGACTTCAAGCCATGATGGACTTTGTAGCTTCACTGTATCTCTGCCCAGTTTAGCAGTTTTCTGTTGTGAAATTGATCACACATGTTTATCATTAAATATAAGTATTCTCTTCTAATGAAAAATACTCGGAAAATCTGATTTTTAAGTTAAACATTTCAAAAATTCTATTTTTTAAATAAATTTAGGAAGACACAGATGCTAAGTTGGGCAGTGAAGACAGGTTATTAGAATGGTTTGTTTTTAAATTTCAAATGATTGTGTCTTAGTTAATGAGTATTTTATATTGTTAATCCCTGGCATGTGCACTGTAATTGTGAGTAACAAAGTAATCTCTTAAAAGTTGATCAAAGTTTAGTGTTAATATCTGTTGAATTGATAATACATAACTGTAACAAATTATCACCATTTTGAGAATATATTCCAATAACTTTTTTGTAAGTATGAAATGGAATAACTTAAGTGAAATGTTTTCCACAAAATTTAAAATCACTTCTCCAAAAAATTAGGTAGATTTCTGGGATAAAAGGGACATACTTTTTCATTTATAGTCACCTAACAGCAGATACATTCTAGGGAAGATTTATTAACTTCTGTTAGAAAGTTGGAAGAAGACTTGACTTAAATAGTGAAAATATTAGCACAGTATGTAGATGAGGTTTTAAGAAAGTATTTTTAACTTCATTTAAAAAGATGGAAATGGCATAGTAAAGGAATAATGTGAGGCAACACTTTCGTATTTAACTTTTTAGTCAAACATTAACCACAACACTGAGAATGTTATTTGCCTTTCTCAAGGTTGCTCTTCTTAATTCCTTCTTTACCTCCATATTTGATTATTCTCTGAAATCTGGGACAATATCTTTAGAATACATTTCTCTTTTGAGTATCAAAGAAAACACTGTGATTTAAAGCTTCAATATTACTGGTCTCGCTCATTGCAGAAACCTAGTTGGTATTCCTAATTCTAGTCATTCCAGGTTGCTTTTTTTGTTTTTGTCTTCATGTGATTTACATTTCAATAGTGGGTCTATCAGCAGTATTTTACCATTCTTAATAATTTGGACTATCAGGAGAAAGTTTGGCAAGGTGCCTCTCTTCCCCAACTCAAAGCATTACATTATGCATGTGTTCCAGATCATCTCTGAAATACCGTTTAATACCTGTAACATTTATTGTATGTGACTGCCACATGATTTCTGTTGTTAAGGAGCTTATACTCTAATAAATTGTTATGAGTTTGTGAGAGGTTATACTGAGTAACCTTGAAGATTCTGTGTAAGGAAATCCATACTTCTTTCAAGGCTAGATTGAAGTTTACTTTGTCTGTAAAACTCTGACTAAAAAGTTATCTTCTGCTTTTTAGTCTATAATCACAAATATACCAACTTTCTGACATACTTGCTAATGTATTTCTTGGTATTGTTCTGCCTAAAAGAGTTTTTGTAATGGTTGTATGGAGATATACATAATATATTATGTATAGGACAGTATATTCACATACTAAAGGAGGGTATAGTCAAGTAATAGGGAATTTGAAAGAAAAAAGGTAAAAATGTAACCTCTGCTGTTAGGTGAACATAAAAGTGGTCTGAACCTTAACCCAGTTGGTAGAATTTAAGCTTTTAAACTATCTGCAGTAAAACCAGTATTGTTATATTTTAGAAATTACTGTTTTGTTTTAGAAAGATAAAAGATTTGCAGATTTCAAAGACATTTTAAAAGCAATCCTGTTTAAGAGCTGTTTTTACTTTTTTTTTTTGAGAACCGTTTAAAAGTGTTCCTCTTTTTTAAATTAGGCATTTGGTTTTTTTACTATGAATGTCCCCCCTTTTCTATGGTTTCACTTCCCAAGATTCCAGTTCTCCTCAGTTTTAGTTACCTATGGTCAGCCAGGGTTCAAAAACAGGGAAGATTAATATAATGCTATGTCACAGTACCTGTGTCATCTCATTTCACTTCATCTCATCACATAGCATTTTTATCATCTTACATCATCACAAGAAAAGGGCAAGTACAGCTCAGTAAGATATGTTGAGAGAGTGAGAACATATTCACATAATTTTTATTACAGTGTGTTATAGTTCTCTTTTATTATTAGTTGTTGTGCATCTCTTATTGTGCCTAGCTTACATATGAAACTTTACCATAGGTAAAATATATGAAAAATCAGAATATATACCCTCCTACACTGCTGGTGTGAATGTAAAATAGTTCAACCATTGTGGAAAGCAGTATGTAGGTTCCTCAAAATGCTCAAAATAGACATACCATTTGACCCAGGAATTCCACTCCTAGGAATTTACCCTAAGAATGCAGGAGCCCTGTTTGAAAAAGACATATGCACCCCTGTGTTTATCGCAGCACTATTTACAATAGCCAAGAATTGGAAGCAACCTAAGTGTCCATCAGTAGATGAATAGATAAAGAAGAAGTGGTACATATACACAATGGAATAGTATTCAGCCATAAGAAAAAAAAAAATCCTACCATTTGCAACAACATGGATGGAGCTAGAGGGTATTATGCTTAGTGAAATAAGCCAGGCGGAGAAAGACAAGTATCAAATGATTCCACTCATCTGTGGAGTATAAGAACAAAGCAAACTCTGAAGGAACAAAACAGCAGCGGACTCACAGAACCCAAGAATGGACTAACAGTTACCAAAGGGAAAGGGATTGGAGAGGAAGGGTGGGAAGGGGGAAAAAGGGGCATTACGATTAGCACGTATAATGTGGCGGTGGGTGGGGGGAACACAGGGAAGGCAGTATAACACAGAGAAGACAAGTTACTGCACTGATGGACAGTGACTGTAATGGGGTATGTGGTGGGGACTTGATAATAGGGGGAGTCTAGTAACCATAATGTTGTTCATGTAATTGTACATTAATGATAGCAAAATAAAAAGAATCACAATATATATATATAATGTTTGGTGGTACTACAGTTTCAGGCATCCACTGGGGGGGTCTTGGGTCACACTCCTGTGGATGAGAGAGGACTACTATAATTGATTTCTATGAATTCTCTCTATGTAATAATTGATAGGTAAATTTTCCCATTGTGATGTGAATTACAAATGCTTTTTACCTGTCATTTGGCATTGTTTATATTGTTTCTGTGTAGAGATTTGATTTTTTTAAGTTAACAAACTTCATTTTTTAGAAGGTTCACAGCAAAATTAATCAGAAAGTACAGAGTTCCTATATATACCCCTGTCCTCACATATGCACAACCTCCCCACTGTTGACATCCCACAGTTTGTATGTTACAATGAACAAGCTGATTGAATAATTTGTTCAATGAAATTTTATTTTTTTCACCTTATTTTTTGTCTTCTTTTATCACTTAGGAGACTACTTTTTTTTTTGAAAAGCCCTTCTCTATTCTTGAACTTGAAAAAAATGTTATCCTACAATAGTAGTGATAATAATGACAATAACAACAAATAGTACTAATGCATTCTGACTGCTTACTTTATGAGCTTGATTCGGTAGGTTGAATTAGCTTCATTTTAAAGAAGAGGAGTTAGAGGTACAGAATATTAAATAAACCTGTACAAAAGCATACAGCTAATAGATGGCATTTTCAACCCCAGGCAGTTTGGACTTACTTCTTTTTAAACAGTTTTCTATTTTCTTATGTACTTGTTTGGTGTAGTAGGTTTGAGGTAGGAATTCAACTTTATTTTTGGACTGTTTGAGTAGAATAAGAGCTAGCAAAGAGGAGTCTGAAGAATTGATCATCAAGGTGGGAGTAAAAGCAAGCGTGGTAGACCTTGTGGGACAATGCTGAGATTTAAGATAAGAAACGATAATATGGCAAGATGAAGCAATCTTGATGGTAGGTATTTCAGTGGAATGGGCTGAAGGAGAAGTCAGATGGGAACTGTGCAAGGATATGAGAACAGATACAGAGCGAGTCTTTTGAAAATTGTAAATAGGAAGAAGGAGGGCGGTAGGCTAAGGAAAAAGTATTGTTAAATTTTAGAAAAATAATATTTTTCTAATATTTGTAGGTGTTAAAAATGCTGAAGGAAGGATTTAATTAGACAAGATCTTAAAGAAGATCTAGTAAGAAAGCTATCAAGTCGTTGCATTCCTAAAAATCAGAGAAGATGGGCCCTGGGAAACACAGATACAGGGATTTGCTTTATATAGAAGATGTCCTCTTCTAGAGGGCGTGGAAAGACGCATGTAGATAAAGTGATTATGAGCTACTTGTGGCAAGTCAGAGTTCCCATTTGATGGTATTTATTTTCTCTGAAGTAGAAGATGTCCTCTGCGGAGTGACTTGAGAGAGGTTGGAGGGTTGAGGAGATGGGAGAAAGTTTGAAAAAGCTGTCATGGAGAACAAACTAAGGGGATATTTAGACATTGTTGAAGGCCTGCCCACTGGACGTTGGTGATGATAGCATGAATTCAATTTTCTTTTCTAGTGACTTCCAGGCCAGTTCTGCCATTATGCTTAATATAGTTAATGCTCTTTAATCATTCACTACCAGCCTAGAATTAAAAAATAAGCATACAGCTTTTTGAATAGAGTAAGTTTGGGGAAGGAAGAAAAAAATCACTACTTTTCACTTCATTTTGGTACTCTTATGTAATGGAAAACATTTCTTGGAAATACATTTTTAATAGGTATGTTAATTTAACTCATTTAACTTTTATTCACGTGGATGTGATTCTTGGGTAACTAGTAGAGGATTATGATAAAATTAAATATTTTAAGTTTAAATATATGTGTTCTTGAATGCCTAAAAACTAGAAAATAAATATTTTAATAGTAAATTCACATTTCTTAAAGTATAACTTTCAACATGTATAGAAAGTTTTCCATCAGTGTCCTCAGATTTAAATTCACTCGTTGTTAAACTTGTTTGTTTATTTTTTTACACAGGGTGTGATAGGTATACAGCTGGTTGTTACCATGGTGATGGCCAGTGTCATGCAGAAGATTATACCTCACTATTCTCTTGCTCGATGGCTACTCTGTAATGGCAGGTAAGGCAAGGATAGGCTGATTGTGACAGGCACTTTCAAATCTCTATTTTATCAATCTGATTAATTAAACACAAATTTCTATTTTCAAAAAGATATGACAGAAGGAAACTTAGGAGAGAAATCTAGCTTTCTTCCTTCTCTTACTTGAGATACTAGTAGTTGATATGTTTAGCACAAAGATAATAGGGTCATGGTCAAGAATTCCATCCCTGCTTCTTAAACTTTACCCTTATGGTCATGGCTACTAAAAATACCACATAACTCTCCTAGTTACCTTTAAAAACACTTGGTTATAAGGGGATGAGACTGTAAAATACTAAATATTTTCCCCATTATTGGAAAAAATGACTCAAAGCATATGTCTTGTTATTGGTGACTCAGTTGAGAGTTTATTATCAGAGTTAGGGGTTCTTTGTATTACTGCAAAGAATTTAAACTTTGATTTAGCAAGGAGGGAGTGAAGTTATTTTGTAGGATTTTAATTTTGTCTACTGCATTATAAGCTTATAACTATCCCCATTCTTTCCTCAGAGGAGCTAAGTTGCTTTGCTTTATTATTTATTAATAAAATAGTAAAATCAAAAGTGAAGAAGTTTAATATAGGAGATACCTTGAGGTAAAAACAAGAAAACTCTGCATGCAGAAATACATGCCAGAATCCTGTGTAATTATGAAAGATAAATTGTAGATTTGGTACCATGACTATAGTTTTAGTCCCAATTATTCATCTCTAGTAAATAACCAATTTTGTTATTTATTTGTATGTCCATTTCTTTTCTTTAGAGCTTTTGAAGTTATAAAACCATAGATCACTCTCATCCACTAATGATTTCATATACTGTTAAGACATAAAAGCCTTTAAATTCAGGACCATTCTATCAACAAAGCTTAGAGTTCCTTCATATAAATTATTTTGTAGTATTTAGTTATTTTTATTCTTTTTCTATGTGTTAAACTTTTTCCATATCAGTGTTTATAGGAAAATATTCACAACTGCTTAAAAGTGTTTTGAACACTGATACACACATGTGTGTATGGAATGTGTGAGAGAACAGCTGTTTAAAAACATGTTTATTAGCAAAATAAATAATGACTAAAGTTTTAGTAAAATTGAAGAATTCTATCACATATAACTAGTATTTAGCTGTGTAGGTATATAGCACTGTGCAGTCTTGTTTACTTTTTTGGCTTAGGAAAACCCTTTTCATAGATTGTAAAAGGGAAACAGCTGGGCAAATTCTCATTAATTCTAAATAAATGGAATCTGAATCAATAAACTAGAAAAATACATTAAGGGAGCTTATTTTCTACCAAGAATTGCACATTTCTAGACTCTGTTTATGATGAGTCTCTAGTGAGACTTCCAGATCTTTTTTGACTATAAAGATGTTGGCAATCTTATCCCATTTTAGTCTATAGGCAGTTTCCATGTTCTTACATAACCTGCTTTCCAGTTGTTTCTATAAAACTTGTTTTCATCAGTAATAACTAAAACTTCAGAAATTGGAAACCTGATTCTCTTCTCTTTGTTAATATTGGGATAATGTACTATATTTAAATCTTTACTTTTTGACAAGTATTTGTCATAAATATACAAACTACTTTGAGGGAAACTCAACCTTTAAAAATAAACAAAGTAGTTTTTTTTTGTGATCTTGATTTGTTTTTGTAAAGATTAACTTTAATGTTAATTAATGCTGTCTGTAATTCGATATCAGTTCCAAAGATACCAATCAGAACTTTCTAGTAATTGTTTTAGGCTATGGGTAGTTTCATTTCCTCCCTGTTACTTAGTTTGGGTTTGTGTTCTTAAGATCGTCTACCTACTTTAATGTTATCCTGAAAATTTTAGATCATGAAGCCAAATTACTGAATGTTATTACCTAGTTTCAAATTATTGATTTTTATACCTTTGGGATAATTATTGTTTTACCAACCTTTTGTAATGAAATGATGCTCTCTTACATCCCTTCTAAATTGCTCATGTAAGAATATTGATCCAAAATGATAGTTTGCTTTATAAACCATATGATGCTGCTCAGTTGATAAAAGAAAGATCTGAGCGAATTCTTTACTGACTATAAAATGCTTATAGTAGTTTAAGGGGAGAGGCTCATGAGGGGATGTCTCAGAAGTGACTATGTTTAATAGAGCTATTCAAGGTAATAAGTATATCGATACCATTATAGTTTAATCATGAGTATGATAGAAGAAATTTTCTTTTTAGTTTCTGCATATGTTGTCTTAATATTTATTCTGCAAGTATCATATATTCAAATTGTAAGTAAGTATTCTATATTTTTCTTTAAAGTATGGCTTCTCTTTCTGTATCATAATGTCCTTATCTCTTATCGATCCGTGTCTCTTGGAGTAGAGGGGTTGAAGTGGCACCTGATTCTGTTATGTTGACTGTGTGAGTAAGCCTGCCATTTTCCTGAAGAAATCAATAGTTTGAAGGGATAAGCAACTTTGCTTATAAATTAGAAGCTTGTTGGTTTTTAATATAAAAATAAACTAGTTTCTAGGTCTTGCTAAATAATATATGTATTGCCATTAGTATTATACACCTTTAGTTTTTTTAAAAACTGCATAGTCTTTAGCCTGATTTAATTCATTGATACTACCTTTACAGTGTTAATAAAACAACATACTGATAAAATTTTTATTTCTGTTACCTCATTTGGATGTGTACACACTGAGCTAGGTAGGAAAAGAGATGCATTGGGTATATTATGACCTCAGAAATCCTCAGTGTCTAAACTTAAAAGTTTCTCATTCATCTTCCTCAGATTTGTATCAGGGTTAAATAGAGGGAATCAGAAAGGGATTGGCATCTTCCAGGTAGAGCCTTCGTGAAGTGGGGTTTCCAGGATTTAGCCACCCTCTAAGTGGTGACTTAGGCATTGTGGACTTCTTCTGTCTTAGGGCTCCTTTCTCCCTCTTGCTCCCTCTGAGTCCTGTGTTAGATGCTATGGCAATGGGCTGTGCATCTTTCAAGAGATTGAGGGGCCGAGTTGAGTAGATACATCATTTCTGCCATATTGCATAAGCTGAAGCCCTATGACTAGTTCAGGCTCAGGTGCAACAGAGTCTGGGAAATGTAGTTTTCATTGTACCTAGGAAATAAAAGCAGGGTTATTGTATATTTAGTCCTTCTCTGCTGTAGGTGATGTTGTATCCATTTTTACAAATAAAACAAATTGTAACTTTACTTATGTTCACATACAGAAAAATGAAACAGACCCAGCCTTCCTACTCTGCAAGTCTGTTTCATAGTCTTGATTTGATTTATGGCTGCTCCTCAACTCCAGACCTTGTCCTAGAACTAACATACTTGAACAGAGTTTTGAATTTGGTAGAGGTGAACTCTTCTACAACCACTGTGACTTCTGCTGGCAGTTTATAGAATATTTTATTAAAAAAAAATTTTTCCCCCTAGCTGTACTTGGCCTTTTAAAAGATATCCCTCAGGTTATAGGTAGTGTATGATTTCTCCTCACTTAATGTATCCTCATAGCTTCTCTGTGACTACATAGCTAACTTTTCTTCCAAAGTAATGTAAGGGCACATCAGCATTGATTTTGGTTACCCAAAGCATGCTAATATGGAGTAGAATTTTAAGAAATATCAACCTTTCAAATTATACCTCTTACCTTACCACTCGAGATTAAATGTATTCAACACTACTAATTTGTAAATATTTTGTATTCTATTTTTTGAGCTTAATAGTAAAATATTTTTCTTCTAGAAAATGTTATTCTGCTTTTTAACATACCTTTTTGCATGAATATTATATTTTGTTGAAGGGATTCCTGCTTTAATAAGAACTTCAGTAACAAGATCTCTTCTGCCTATAACTTGTGAACATATATTATTGACCTTGATAAACACAACTATGGAGAGTCTAGTGGTCTTAGATTGCTCTATTCCTTCCTCCCTGCCCAGAGGGACAAAAAATCATAGGACGTTGGTTTCCTTGTACCTTTAGTGTTAGGGAAAAGCAGTTTTTCTCTAACATAAGGAAAACTTTTTCTAACAGTTCAGATTGTCTAAAGATGTTCTTTATCATGTCCAGCATACCACTTACTTGTAGCTAAAGTATTCTCTACTTTCTATTGTAAATAAAGTTCCTTTTTGTTTTGAAGTTTGCTTGCCCCTCTTTTCACGGAGAGGTAAGTTATAGGTTACATTCTTCGTACATTTGAATAGTGGGTTTTGCATGAGGAGTAGGATTTTGCTTTTTCTCTATAATAGCTTCCTTGTTGAACCTGCTTTTCCATTGTTCAGGTCAAACCTCACGCATTCTTCTCTACCCCTTTATCTCCCTAGGCTCTCACTTTGGTCTATTTCCCATTACATGTCTCTCATCAAAAATATATTATTATTGAATATACTCTGATTTTGTTTCCTCCTATATTGGATAAAGAGGGTGTAACAACAACTTCATATTCAGTTGCTCTAATTCGTTTTGCCTGTTCTCTTCTGCATGTTGCCTGATCAAGAATCTCCAAGTTCCCTTTGGTGAGAGAAACCTACTATTCAAATGCACAGTAGGTGGGACCTATGACCTAAGGGACAGGTTCAGCTACTACCCTTATGGAATGCCTGAGTCCTTCCTTGCACTCTTTGCCTTAGCTGTCTTAACTTCTAATTCTAGAATGTCATGTCATGATATTCTATTAAAATTTCTAATAGATAATAAGAGAATGTATAACAAACAGTATTTTAGTTACTTGTGCTAAATGATCTGAAGTTTTAAGTGATATTTGTTTTCCCTTAATTTTTTTCTTTTTTTAGCTTGAACTCAGTACTAAGCTTTTCCATATTTGTTCCTGTTTAGATTTCCATTTTAAATTTCTGAAATTTTTAGTTCTGCAAATTTTAGAAGTGGTTTGCTTTAAATAACATTGCTGCTTAAATTTTTTAAACAGTCTAGGTCAATACATTCCATATTTTATGATACATATTTTTTCACCGCTATTGAGCTGTGTAGTATTCAC